CCCGCGACAGCCCCGGGACCCCAAAACCACCCCCGGGACCCCCAAACCCTGCTGGGACCCCCAAACCCTGCTGGGACCCCCGGGACCCCCAGCCCCCCGCCCCTCACCAGCCCCCGCAGCCGCTCCTCCAGCTGCAGGTTGAGGCGCTGGGAGTTGGCGTAATCGTCCTGGAGCCTGCGGGAACAAACTGGGAGCACTGGGAGCAAACTGGGACCAAACTGGGACCAAACTGGGAGCACTGGGACCAAACTGGGACCAAACTGGGGCCAAACTGGGAGCATTGGGAGCAAACTGGGACCAAACTGGGAGCACTGGGAGCAAACTGGGACCAAACTGGGACCAAACTGGGACCAAACTGGGAGCACTGGGCGCAAACTGGGACCAAACTGGGGCCAAACTGGGAGCATTGGGAGCAAACTGGGACCAAACTGGGAGCACTGGGACCAAACCGGGACCAAACTGGGGCCAAACTGGGAGCAAACTGGGAGCACTGGGAGCAAACTGGGAGCAAACTGGGGCCAAACTGGGAGCGCTGGGACCAAACTGGAGCCAAACTGGTACCAAACTGGGAGCACTGGGAGCACTGGGAGCACTGGGAGCACTGGGAGCACTGGGAGCACTGGGAGCACTGGGAGCACTGGGAGCACTGGGAGCACTGGGAGCACTGGGAGCACTGGGAGCACTGGGAGCACTGGGAGCACTGGGAGCACTGGGAGCACTGGGAGCACTGGGAGCACTGGGAGCACTGGGAGCACTGGGAGCACTGGGAGCACTGGGAGCACTGGGAGCACTGGGAGCACTGGGAGCACTGGGAGCACTGGGGCCAAACTGGGAGCACTGGGACGGCCGCAGGTGGGAGCTCCCCATGGCCACGCCCGCTTTCCATAGCCCCGCCCTCTCTCGGGGCCCCTCCCATGGCCCCGCCCTTCCACATGGCCCCGCCCCTTCTATGGCCACGCCCTTCCGCGTGGTCACGCCCCTTCCATGACCACGCCCCCTTCCGTGGCCATGCCCCTTCTCGTGGCCCCGCCCCTTCCATGGCCCCGCCCCCTCACCTGTGCATCCGCTCCCGCAGCGCGTCCAGCTCCGCCCGCTCCGGGGGGGGCCTGGGGGGGAACAGAGACCGAGGGACCCCAAAACTGAGCCCAGACCCCCAAAACTGA